CCTCAAATATTTTTCATTATTAATAATTTACGATGCCTTCTAACTCTAATATGCTGTTTTGTTTTTTTTTTCATTTAGATAGCTCTAATATGCTTTTAGTTGTGGGCACAAAATGTTTAGGAAAAATATTATGTGAAAAAGAAAAATGTTATTATTATTTTTTAAATCCACATATGAGAGCGCTTCTATTAGAAGTGCTCTTGTAGGAGTAGCCAACGGGAGCATTCAGCCCTTAAGCGCTCCAGCATGTAAGACATACAAGAGTGCTTTCCCCTTAAGCGCTCCTGTTGAGTGCTTTATAGGAGCGCTTAATAATAAAGCACTCCCAAATGATTGTTTTTTTTTATATTTAAAATCAAATGCCTAAGTTACAAAAGTACTCTTATAGACCTAACCTACAGAAGTGCTTTATAAGCGCTCTTATATATACGGGAGCATTGGCTACAGAAGCGGTTTGAAAAAGCTCCCGTAAGCTAAAACTAAGTGCTCCTATAGAGTTATTTTACAGTAATGTATAACTTGCTGGTGGCAATGGAATTGGATGAACAAGATGATGTGTGAGGAAGGTTTTGTTTTGGAAGAAGGGTATTCTATCAGAGAAATCAAGTGGTATGAGTGGGAGTTGATAATTTGAAAGCAAGTTTCGATTTGCTGCATAAGAGGAAGGTGACTATTGATGTCAAGTGGGAGCCTCCTGATTTTGGGTGGCATAAACCTAATTTTGATGGTGTTGCCAAGGGAGGATTGTTGGTTAGGTGTGGTGGTATTTTGAGATATGGAAGCGGATATTGGGTTGGTGGGTTTGTGAAAAAATTGGGTGAATGTCCAATGTTCAATGCTGAGTTATGGGGTGCCTTGTGGGGGTTGAGGTTGGCAAGAGTTTGGAATTGAGAATTTGATAGTTGTAGACGATTCTCAAACTGTGATATGAAAACATCCCCTTGATTTAATATCGTCTTTATCAAAGACTTGTTTTGAAAGCATTTTGTTGAATATTTTAGAAACTCATCTCCCACTTCCATCACGAAAGAATGCACGAGATGTGATTCTTTTGGTCACAGTGGCTTTATCATACTTGCATCCATCACCAAAATATGGACCTTGGATGCAGCAAGTGACTCAAAGGTTTTGATTCTCCAAGATACCATTAGCTATATAACTTTCAATAATATCTCAATTATGCATTTATTAAATCAAGATCTATAAATATTATAGTAAAAATCTAGGAATTTTGCTCTGTATTTTCTTGGGATGTCTGGCTGAAACCTTCTAGGAATCACTATGTCAAGATTTGATGTTTGCCATATGTTCAATTTCTTAAGGCTATAATTGTGGCCAAAAATAAATTTCTTATAGCTGATCTTTATTTATCCAAAAATTTGAATGTGTGGCCAAAGCTATTGTACAATATGATCTCTCTCTCTCTCTCTCTCTCTCTCTCTCTCTCCCCCCCCCTCCAAAAGAAAATCCTTGCTTAGTATAGGAGGATGATTATTATAATGGTTTTTGCATTTTAAATTTTTAATCTTCGATCCAACAGAAGATTGTATTTTGTAGACCATAAAAAGCATATCCGTTAAAGCGAAATAAGTATAAAAACAATCAACAAGCGTGTAGCTCAACTAAATAAGAGCTACGCTAGTTTAACCGGAGGATGAGAATCAAAAGGTGAGATTACAGCCGCTAACACCTAACAAGTTGTCGAAGAACTTGAGCATTTGCATCCATTCTTCATTATTGCCTAACAAACCAACTTGACAAGTGGCTTCGATTAGGAATTGAATTTCATCACAGCCTTCGATTGAGAAATAATTGCCAATGGACTTCAAATAAGGGATATCCTAATTAATGACGAAGAAGAAGAAGGAATGGCAAAATGGTGGGCAATCTGGTAATTAAACATAAAAAATTATTTGCATTAAGGGACCTAGGGATTGCAAAGTATATTTCAGTCATTTCTTGGGATTTCAGAGTATTTACAATTACAATCCATACATGGGACTCTAGACTAGTTCTCCACTTCTCCTTATATTATTTTTGACGGTTTGGAATAAAATAATCCACATAATTTGCAGGCTTTCATTTTCAAGGTTTAATTATCTTTGTAATGTGGTGTATCATCGATCCCATCTCACGCCGAAGACCCTCCTCACAAGCGAAATTGACTAAAAATGTTAGTCTTCCAAGTCTACTTTATTTTCATTTGTTTGTTTTATGTGGAGTAATTTTTATTAACTTGCTTTCAATTGTAAAATACTTGTTAAACTCCACCTTACTTTTAATTTGACACTCGTATTTAGATGTCGACAAAAATGTTTACTATATTCCTTAAATGTATTTAAAAACCATTTAAAAACCACCAATTATAGAGTTATAGTGAAATTAATCTAATCGATTTATTTCTATGTCAGCATATTTTTATTGTGTGGGCAGAGGTGTTATAGAGTTATTGTTGAATACAGATTAATATATATATATATATATATATATATTATAGTTAAATAGCTGCAAGACCATCATGTGCACTTTCAATTGTAAGGGCTAAAAGTTCTAGAAAAGGATCAAATTAAAGGGAATAAAAACAATGAAATAAATATAGAGACTAAAAATGACATACAATCAAAGTACATGGATTGTATTTTTTATAAATAATAATAACATTTGAAGTTTCGTCCCTGTACATTGAAAGAATTAGATTGTTTTAGGGTATTTTTTTTTAGTATGTCACGTAATTTTTATTATTCATTCATGTATTATTTTCGTTCTGTCGAATATCAAAGTATAGAGTTTCATTCTATGTAATACTAAACTAGAAACATTTTTTTAAGGAATAAGATTTGTGAATAACGCAGTATATTATCTATTTTTTCTTTTGTCGATAATAGATATTTCAAGAAAAATTAATTAGCAATAAAGTGTTTTAGAGTATAGCAACTATGTAATTTAAGCAAAATTTAAAAAATAAAAAAATAAAACAAATTAAATAATTAACGTGGTAAGAGAGCGCTATCCATAGTACATTATGTTTATGGGCATTGTTAGGGAGCATGACACCGAACAAGAACAAAGACATTGAAAGTTAACTATTATTATTGTCACAGTTGTTTTACTGTTTTTAATTAATTTTTACAGCGTAACGATGATGACAAAACATCTTTAAATTAAAGATGTCAACTAAAAAGTTACTTGGACAAAAAAAGTCACTATATCATATTAAAAAATTAAAGCAAATGTAAACTTATAATTTGCTATCAAATTAAAGGGACAGAAAACATGCTCATTCTTATCAAACGCAGTGTCTGATTGTAAAATAACGTTAAAAATATTATCATTGACGAAGCCCATCAACAAAACAAAGACCTTTTCCCTTCTTTGATTTATAAAAAGAATGAGGGAAAAAATAAAATAGTATCATGCTTTTAATGATTGTTTTCAAAATCCTGTTTTACAAGTTAAGTATTGAAGTTAACGCTAAGGTCAATGAAATTGTGTGTAGTATGATCCCAATTCCAGTAAACGCGTGTGGAAAAGTTTTTAAAAGGACATAGACCAATAATAACAGTACACTTAATTCAACTCTGCCCATCTCTCACGTCATTTTCCATTGGACTTGCTCCAACGACTTTGACTCTCACGAACACGGCCAGAGGTGATTAATAATATTTATAATATTTATAATGATTAAAAAGGTTAAATAATTTAAAATATTATTAATAAATTTTAAAAATATTATAAATATTTGTATTATTAATAATTTTATTACTAATATTATAAATATTATAAATATCAAAAGTTTACAATATTATAAATACCAAAAGTTCAAGATTTTTTTATTTTTTTTTTGAAATGTAGGGACCAATATTTAAGTAGTTGAAACAATAGGAACTAAGTTACAAAAGTAAAGTTATAATGAAGTTAAAACTATAAAAACTGAGTTACAATAATTCAAAATTTAAGAATTGAGTTATAAGTGGGTTAAAATTATAGGGATTAAATAATTAATTTTTTTTAATTTTTTATTTTTCAAAAAAATTAGAAAAAATAAGTTATCATATTATTACAGTTGTTTTCAACAATCCACCTTTTCAAGTTGCTACTCCAATCTTCTTTATAAGTCATTTTTACTAATTTTATTAATGCCAATATAAAAAAAATGTAAAAAGAATAAAAGTATGTAAAATTTTAAATGTGTCCTTATATAATAAATCTAAAAAATAGCATTATATTACTTTCTCTTTTTCATGAAAGATAATTTTAAAAATACTTTTTAAATATTACTTAAAAATATGCATCGTGTCTTATAATTAAAATTAAATAGATATTTTAAAATATATCTTAATAAATAAATGCGACCGAAAAGAGTACAAAATAATCAACTGGACCCATCTCACAGCTGTCTCACGCGTCATGTTCATGTGCATATTGATTGCCTTAATTTGGACGTTCCCCAAAGACATTGGCCCTGACCAAGGAACTTTCTGAATTTTTCAAAACATATGAAAAATAAAATAAAATAATTATTATCATTTGTCAAATTTACTTTGCACGCATCTTTAGATGTCGCTTAAAAATTACTAAATTTTTATAAAAATTAAAGACTTTAAAAAACTAAATAAGAAAGTTGTACCAAAAAAAAAAAAAAATCCTTTAGCTAAGCCTAAAATTTGATCAATAGGTATTTGTCTTGGTGAAAGAAATAATGGTGGCTTATATATGTACCAGTTCTCAAGTTCAAATTCACATGAAAGCAGGCATTAAAGAGAGTTGTACTTAACTTAGTATAATAGTACTCGAATATAAAATATAAGAACGGACCTCAGGATTTAAGAAATTAATAAACTTAAATTCTATCAAAATCATGTTTAAACTTTATGATATGAGTGATTCAAATATAAAAAGGTAAAAAAAAAAATAAAAATCACGCCCCATCAACAATATATACAAACGTTAGCTTCCTATAAAGATTCGGCCTCCGGACTCATTTGGAGATCACTTACCATTAACCAATTGACTAAAGATGGAATTGTCCAATATCATGTCAACTGCGCCAACAATACCAGCAAAAGTAATTGTGGTATTACTATTATGCAAAGCCATTACTTTGTTCCCCAATATTGCTACCGCCATGATTGCAGAGGAGAAACGAGCTCTGCTTCAGAGCACTTGGTGGAATGGCAACAACTTCTCAAACGACCCTTGTGAATGGATTGGCATATCTTGCAATAACATTGGGAGGGTTATTTCTATGAGGACTCCAATACTCACTCATCAACAGCCTCTGCTAGCAGATCTCAATTTCACAGCTTTTTTGAACTTGGAAGATTTGGATCTCCGAGGCATGGGTCTCATAGGTATGATTCCGACTCAGATAGGAGATCTTCGAAATCTCACCTCTTTGCATTTAATAGGCAACTTCTTACAGGGTGAATTACCTTCCACTCTTGCCAATCTCACTCATTTAAAATTTTTGGATTTGAGTAGAAACTACCTAGCTGGAGCCATTCCTTCTCCAATTTTAAATTTGCCGAAATTAGAAGTGCTTAACGTTTCCCAAAATAAGCTCAGTGGAAACATTCCCTATATTGAGAACCATATAAATTTTGAAGGTGACTTTAGTCATAACATGATCAGTGGAGTATTACCACGTAGCTTGTGCTTTACTCCACAAATGTGTCGCATTGATTTGAGCTACAATAATATCTCTGGTAATATATCTAGAGAACTTGGTAAGATGCAATACATCAACTTGCAAAACAATTTTCTCAGCGGCAAAGAGAAGACACGAGATTCCTTCAAAATGTCAGAGTCTACGTTGCACATCTTTATTTCCATGGATATTTCCCTTGCCATCCTGATTGCGGGTTACATCATATTTAAGTTATTTAAAAGGAAAAGGGAATCCAAAATTGAGAGGAGGGAGAGCAAGAATGGGAATTTATTTTCCATATGGAATTTTGATGGTAAAATTGCATATGAAGATATCATTAAAGCAACTGAAGACTTTGACATTAAGTATTGCATTGGAACTGGTGCCTATGGAAGTGTCTATAAGGCACAACTTCCTAGCGGCAAAATTGTAGCTTTGAAAAAACTCCATAGAGGAGAATATGAAAACCCATCATTTGTTAAGAGTTTTCACAATGAAGTGAAGATGTTAGCTGAAATCCGACATCGCAATATCGTGAAGCTTCATGGTTTTTGTTTGCATAATCGATGCATGTTTCTCATCTATGAATTCATGGAAAGAGGAAGCCTTTTTTATGTCTTGAATAAAGCTGATGAAGCTAGAGAGTTTGATTGGAGAAAGAGGGTAAATGTCATTAAAGGAATAGCAAATGCGCTGTTCTACATGCATCATGATTGCGCTCCACCAATTATCCATCGAGACATAACGAGCAGTAATGTATTATTGAATTCTAGGATGGAGGCTGTTGTATCTGACTTCGGCACAGCTAAAATTCTTAACCCAGATTCATCTAATCAAACTCTTTTGGTTGGTACTTATGGTTATGTTGCTCCAGGTTTGCTTTTCTAATTCTTTACTACTACTCTTATTATGTGGTATTTTATTTATACAATTACTTTCCTTGGGATACTTTCATAATTTAATTTTTTTATTTTTTTGTCCATCACAGAGCTTGCATACACTTTAGTTGTGACTGAAAAATGTGACGTTTATGGTTTTGGAGTGGTGACATTGGAAACAATCATAGGAAAACATCCTGGAGATTTAATATCATCTTTATCAAATACTTGCACTGAAAGCATTTTGTTAAAAGATGTGTTAGACCCACGTCTTCCACTACCATCAAGACAAGATGCAAGAGATGTGATTCTTTTGATCAAAATTGCATTAGCATGTTTGAAACCATCACCGAACTCTCGACCATCAATGCAGCAAGTGACTCAAAAGCTTTTATTTTTCAAGCTGCCATTAGCTATTCCTTTGAATAACATCTCGATCCAGCATTTGGTAAATCAAGATTTACAAATAATATAGTCCAGCAAACAGCTAGGAGATTTGACTCTATGTTGGCTTTGCACCTTAGGATGAAACTTTCATGGACTAACCACAAATAAAAAGTCCAGATTTGATGTTTGCCATATGTTTAGTTTCTTGTACGTAGCTCATGTTTGCCCATAAAAAATCTCAACTCTTTTGATATATATATATATATATATATTGATATTTTTAAAATCAAATTAGATATACAATAAGTTCATTGAAATATTTTTGTTAATGATTAGTGTTAATGTTTTAATAAAAGAGAGATTGATACATCTACGAAATGCATATTATTCCTCGTTACCAATTTCAAAGGACACGTCTGGAAAAGCTTTTCCATAATATTTTACTTAATTCAACTATGCTCACCTGACACGTCATGAATATGTCCATTATTTTCCTTTGGACTCGCTCCAACGACTTTGACGCTTACCGAAGTGATTAATAAAGAACGTGTAAACAATACTTGCAAAGGTGATAAGGTCTTGTGATCATTTGGAGACCACTTTGTGTGAAGAAAATAAGTAAAGATGTGCGTAATAGTGGCATTAATATTATGTTGCGCTGCTATTACTGGTGCTTGCTCTGCTTCAAACCAAGTGGTGAAATATTAGTATTAGTCCCTACAATTTCTCATACCCTTGTCAGTGGGGAGGCATACATTGCAACAAGTTTGGAAGCATTGTTGCGATACATATACATCAACCAAGGGTCACTTCACAACACCCTCCGCTGGTAGATCTCTACATGACTGCATTTCCTAATCTAGCACACTTGATGCTTTCTAGACAGTGGCCAAGTCAAGACTCAGAGTTAAGGGTGCAAGCTAATTTATTTTAAATATTAATAATTGTTTGGGCTTAAAACAAAGCGTTAGCCCAAAAAATGGTAGAAAGGAAGGAAAACTAAAACAATAGACCCAAGTAAAGACAAGGCTCATTACTAGAAGGAGTCATGCTACACACGTACTTAGCACAAAACTACCAAAAGATAGTTGTTGATAATCCTCCCTTCTTAGTTGGAGCCCCTTTTATAATATGAGATAGTAGCACCATGAATAGCACGTAGTAGTGAAGCGCCCCATAATACACCAACAACTCTCATCATATGAAATGGGTTCAAGTTAAGACACAGAGTGATTGGGTATGGGAGATTGTTGAGTGGATATGAAATTGTTATCTAACATGCCACGAATCTCATGGACTAGTGTTGAATGATGATGGATATTTCACACGTGGGCTTTGAATTCTCTGGCTTTCATAATTGGACATTGAACCCATTTAAAAATAAAAATTTAAATAATTAAAAAGTAATAATTATACTAAAACTAAAATTGTAATAACATAAATAGATCTATCATCATTTTTCTTTCTAAAAAATATATTAAACATGTTAATATGGTCTTTGATGTAAATATACTCTTTATATCTTATCTCGATTATAAAAATATTATATATTTAATAAGCTTTTGAACTTAAATATTTTTTATTTAGTTCAGATAATGCAAAATATCAAGAGTAAGGGGTGCAAATTAAGTTACAAAATTGCATATCCTACTTGTAATTTTTATCAAAGTGAGGGGTGCATTTGTCCATCCACCCTCACCACCATATGGCTTTGCCATTGTTTCTATAATAGATTGGATAGGTATCACACCAACTAAAATAAAAGCTCGTCAATATCTCACTTATTTAGACTTATCTTGTAGCAAGGTTATTGGCTAGTAAGTCATCTTTGACTCATACCAAACTCACTGCTTTTCTCTATCTACAATATTTGAAACTTTATGGGATGGGATTAAAAAGTACTATTTCATTTTAAATAGGAGTTCTTCTAAATCTCAATTAATTGGATTGGTCTAACGCAATAAGAGAGTGCTATCCATATGTGGGTAAATGTATCACTGCACATGGTAACAGTAGTAGTAATAGTCATATTTACAAACTCATTTAAAGATGCCAACTAAAAAGTTTAATTTGATAACAAAAAAAAAAGTTTACGACATCACGCAAAAAATTAAAACAAATGTAAACTTGTATGATATTTCCCATCAAGTTAAAGGCATCGAACACATGCTTATTATTGTCAAACGAAGTGTCTTATTGTAAAATAAGGCTAAAGAGATAACGAGTCCAACGTAACTCAACTTACTTCAAAGACGGAATACTTTATTATACCGTGACGGATTTAGGGGGGCAAGCATGGTGCTTACCACAATCATTCAATTTTTGTTAAATTTACGTTTTTTTTACATGTTAAGAATGTTAAAATTAATTCCCCCCCAATTATAATATAGTTTTGCATTTTGCCTCCCCAACAAAAAATTGCGTTCTAGATCAGTACCTTCTTTATTATTGACGAGTATCATTAATAAAACAATGATCTATTCCCTCCTCCTTTGATTTTTAAAAACAATTAGTAAAAGAAAAAATAAATTACTATTAACAGTTGTTTTTGAAGTCCTATTTAACAAGTTACGTATCGAAAATAACAGCTTGTTGTCGATGAAAGTGTCCATAGTACAAATCTAGTTCTAGTGAACACGTCTGGAAAAGTATTTAATAGGACAAAGACCATAGCAGCATACTTCAACTCCGCCCACCACTCACGTTATTAAAGTTCACATTTGATGTTTGCCGTATGTTTAGTTTCTTGTAGCTGATATTTGTCCATAAAAAATCTCAACTGATCTTTTGATATATATATATATATATATTGATACATTTAAAATGAAATTATATATACTATAAGTTAGTTGAAATATTTATGTTAATGATTAGTATTAATTTTTTTAACAAGTAAGAGATTGATACATCTACAAAATGCATATGACTCTTCATTTAGGTATTGAAAATTTCCGCTAGTAGTTGTCATTGAAAGTGTGTGTAGTATAAATCCAGTTCCACTGAACTTACACGTCTGGAAAATTATTTAGTAGGACAGACCGACATAGACCATAATAGCATGCTTCAAATCTTCAATTCAACCCTGCATATTTCACACATTATTCTTTTCTTTTCTTTTTGATTGTTTTCACACGTTATTCTTTAATAGACATTCTGACATAGACCATAGTAGGCTTTGAAGGAGACCGTCATAAATCACCAAAAATTACAAGATTAATTAATAAAGACAACATAAACAACACTTCCTTGGTTTCTAAATATAAAAAAAAAATTAACTTATATAGTTTAAGAAATTAAATTAAGTATAATAATTATATTTAAAAATTAAAAAACATTAGATTAAATTATCCTTGTAATTAAAGAAATAAATTCGTTTAATGAAAATAAATATTAATTTTATCAGAAATAATTTAAGTAAAATATAATAAATGTTTCTTACAATTTATAATTTTATATGGGAAAATGATAATAAAATCCCTTCAAGTTATGTAAATGACAAGTTGATCCCTCAAAATGATATAATACTAATGAAGTCTCTAGGGACTTTTTTTGCCGATGACTTTTTTTTTTTAAAAGATCATTTTATCCTTACTAAAAAACAAAACCCAATTACAACTTTTGTTTAAGAAATCACAACTCTTGTTCTGTAAATCATAAGAGTTGAATTAGAAATCACAACTTGTTAAGTATAATTTTTGTTATTGAAAAACAAGTCTCAATTACAACTTTTGTTTAAGGAATAATAACTTTTATTCTGTGAATCATAAAAGTTGAATAAAAAAATTATAATTTGTCAAGTGTAATTTCTATTATTAAAAAATAAATTCTCAAAATAACAAACTTCATTCACAACTTTTATTTAAAGAATTATAACTTTTCTTCAAAGAACTGAAAAAAAAAATCACAATTTGTCAATAAGGGTAAAATGGTCTTTTTTCTAAAAAATTATTGACAAAGAGATCTCTAGGGACGTCGTTGACATTATGACATTTTGAGGGATTAAATATCATTTATATAGTTTGAAAGGATTTTATTGTTATTTTTCCTAATTTTATTTATAAATAAAAATAAAAAAGTATTTTTTTATATTTTAAAATAGAGTAGTGCTTGCAAGTGGTAACTGATAAGCTGTTATCATTTGGGGATACTTCTGGTAAAAAAAAAAAAAAATCATTTGGGAATACTGTGATTATGGCATTATACTGTGATGCTGTGCTGCAATTACCGGTGCATATCCATCCAGTGAAGCAGATGAGGAATGTGCTCTGCTTCGGCGAGGTGACAGTAAAGAAAGTTCTAATCCCTAGCGAAGTTTGATAGTGATTGACCGCATGTTTGATCTTGTGCTTTTTTTTTCTCTCTGTTTTTTTTAAATAGCAATACAGTTTTTAAAATGAGAAAATTATACAGAGTTATTGTACAGAAAATTTCTTTATAAATAAATATCATAAAATTTAGATATTGTGATGACCACAAGTTTAAAGGGAGAGCCCATCCTAAAAAACTGGCTTGTTAGGAGGGAGAGCGCCTTGCACTTATAAACACTACACCATTTGTGAGGCTCCCCGATCTGGGACTCATGATAATGCCATCCGGTCAAGAGATGATGTTCCCAGCGGCTTTACTCCATGGCACTTTACTCAGCCTTTTGCCGATTAGAACTCTCCGTGAATAGCCCTTTCTGTGACACCAACCTCTTAATGAAAGCACCAATATAACGAGCACAAACTCAAAGGAAGAGCTCATCCCAAAAGACCAACCTATTAGAAAGAATAGCTCTTGAACTTATAAATCCCACACCATTTGTGAGGTTTCTCGATGTGGGACTCATGATAATTGCTCGTCACATATATTACAACCAAGTTTCTTGGGAATTCATCTTCTACCCTAGTGCTTATCATGGTGATGAAATCTAGACCATAAAGATTTAGATTTTAATCTAAATGGTTTGTATTTAAAGTATTATTTTATATTTATTAAAATAAAAAATTATAAAAATTATTAAAAAATTTTGATAAATATTTTTGTCATCAATTTGCTTTTGATTTAATTTGAAGTGCGGTCCAATTTAATATTAAAATTTTTATATATTGACTATTCAGATATGCTCTATGCAATCTATGTTTAAAATTTTTAACTTATAATTTATTTACTACAGGGAATATCCCATTTATTTATCAAAATATGCAGGATGATTATTT